GGGTTTTGCGATACGACGTTTTGCCAAAATACCATCGATATGTACATATGTATCATGTTAAATATGCAATAAATTATCCAAGTCACAATAAGAAATTATGACAGCGTTACCAGTATTTGCATATTGGCGAATTTTACGCGCCATTTCATGTAGAAATATTTAACATTTTTTTTACTTCTTCAGATCATGAAGACATCATTTCTGTTGTTAGTTGTTGCTGTTGCTGTGGCCACACTCTGTTGTATTGGTAGCGTGGATGCACAGCGCGGCTTACCACCGCCTCAAGCGCGCGGCTACGAAGCCAATGCAGTGATATTGAAACAGGGCTTCGATTTGAATCCAGATGGTTCATACACATACAAGTAAGTGAGTGAGTGTAGAGCAAATAAGTCCAACATGTGCATATGTGAACTTTAAGCAGCAAATATTTAATCATTTGTCAAATGTAAAAGCATTTGCAAGAAATTAATTTATTTAAATTTATTAGCCATCATTGCTTAATCTTAATTGAATTGTGAAATTGGGTGGTTTAACCAGTGGAAATAGTTATTTTGCTGTTGTTTTACATTACTACACTACATAAATACATATGTTAGTTTCCTTAATCCATTCTATCTGCTTTGCAGCTATGAAACAAGCAATGGCATACGCGCCGATGAAGCGGGCTATTTGAAGAATCCGGGTACACAGGTGGAGGCGCAGGTGAGTTACAGATTAGTACCTCGATTAGCATAATGGGGTAAATAAGCGGTTGCGCAAGAGCAGTGGAAAGAGTGGTGAACTTCCCTCAGGAGTTTCTAGACGTGCTGCAAACAAGTTTTATTTGTTCGTATAGAAAATTATTTTGTGCTGGATTGCAGTATACATTTAGGCTGGTATTAAATAAATATCACGTTTGTACGTTAACGATATGTAGCTCAGTTTTCCACGATTACTAAATACATAAAGAACGCAGGAGTCTGGCATGTTTCTAATTTTGCCATAATTTTTATTCAGATTTTCTAAAGACTAATACGCCAGTTAACCGTTAATATTCTGAGTTAAATTTAAATAGATTTCTTCCCTTCAAAAGCATACCTCACCCTTAATTAAATGCAGGCACTGTAACAAATGCAGATATGTAGAATATTTTGTTGCCGGTTTCACAATTTCAAGCTGATCTTAAACACTACCGGATTGAGGTCATGCAAGAGGCTGCTGAGTTTTAGGTGAGATTTCACTTAGCGAAACCGCGACTCCCTACTGTCACCAGCGCTAGCTAGGAACAGCCAGGATATATGCAAAGGAAATAAGTTGTCTACCATCAATACAATGTTTGAGCATATAAATCTTTAGTGGCTCTGATTTTACCAGAAAAGTAGCAAAAGTTCATAGATCAAAACATCACGTATATAGATCAGTAACTATTAATAGTAACACTAGTTTTAAGATATTTTGAATTAAATGTATCAAAAAACTAATTTTTTTCATATTTTCAACCATTAGGCTTAACCCACACCGAAGGCGACAAAACGTTTGTTGATGTCGCATAGAGCAAGAGTACACTACTTCTTATTATTAAACTATACCAAATGAGTGGCAACACAACACAAATTGGATAGGAAAAAAGTATTTATTTTCGGTCGCCAAAAAAAAAAAAACGTTTTGTCGTTTTCAGTGTGGGTTTAGCCTTATAATACAAAAACACAGTATCTACATTATGGAATATTTTTGACAAGATGCAAAGAAAGCCTAAACCCTTTTCTTTTATCCTGAAAGATAAAAGGACTTTATGGTAGCATTTATTTTTGAAAAGCTTTTAATATGCACAGGTAAGCAAAAAGTCGAACATTTCCGCATGTTTCTACTAAATTAAAATTTTAAAATAACTGATTTTATGTTATAGCTACCTGCTGTGTATATTTTTAAACTTTGTAACTCATGTTTATAAAAGTCACATTTTTACTTTTTGTGCTAAAGGAGAAATGCTTAGCTTTTTTACACCTTATTCGAAAGAATCCACCAGACCCCGTTATCCCAATACAGATGTTTAAAAAATGCCAAAACTGAGTGTTTTTCCGCTTTTTAGTCAAGATATCTCCAAAAATGGAGCCAATGTAATGGCGTTTTCTTTTCTCTAAAAAAAATTCACCTTTTTATATGGCAACATTATCAGAGTGCTACATTTTAAATAAAGAGCACGCAATATGCATGTGGAGATGCTGAGAAAAAGAATACGAAAACTTTACAGCCCTAGCGCAGGACAGAATAAATGCAACATTATCTCGAGAAAAGAAAACGCTATACTATTTCCAATTTCAGATTCTGATTCTAAGGAAAAATCCTATAACTCGCTATAATTCACTTTCCGTTCCGCTAACATTTTTTGAAATTTTGGGGCTCAATCGATTTCAACCATGGACCGAGAGCGTTCCCACAAAAGAACCAAACGGGAACCAACGTGTTGAGAGCAGTTTGAACGCGAACAAAATGCTAACAAAAGATTTGGGAACGTTTCCGTAAAGAACAAAACGCAAACAAAACTCTCGGGAACGTTCTCAAGAAAAACAGAAAGAGAACGAAACTTTCGGGCACGTTTCCAATGAGAACAAACTGAGAGCGAAAGTATCGGGAATGTTTACAAGGAGGATAAAATAATAACAGAGGTCTGGGAAACGTGCTGTTAGAGACCAAAACGAGAATACAACATTTAAAAACTTAACGTTAAAAATGGGAGGTATCATTTCAACCTCCACATCGATTATCATTAGGGTGAACTATCCATATATGGAAAAAATTTTAATTTTTTGTTCAAGAAAAATTCGTGTCTTAAGTCTTTCGTTTACTTTATTTTCATAATTAGTTTTGAGTTCTTTTTTGATTAATTTCAATATTCAAACATTTCAAACTAATAAACGCTATGCGAAAAATTTTGTTCGCGCTTCCACAGAAGATTTCTTCGCGAATATCACAGAAGATTTGTACCCATTTTGTTCTTTGTTAGGAAGTTCCTGTGACTTCATTTCCCAAATTGTTCTACAAGAGAAAGTTCGTTAGACTTTTGTTCCAGTTTAGTTCTTTTACAAAACGTTCCGGAGACTTTTGTTCATATTTTTTGCTCTTATAAATGTTTCCGAAAGTATTGTTCACATTTTGTTCTCTTTGAAAATGTTCCACAGGGTTTTGTTCTTATATGTATAATACCCATTGAGAAGGTTCTCGACAGTTTTGATCTAATTTTTGTTTTGTCTTTAAGCGTTCTTGCGAACAAACCTTCGAACCTCATTTAATTGTATTAATTTTAATGCCAAACGAAAGATGTTTAATGGTGATTTCGTTTATAACAAAAAATGTGGCCTTTGCACGGTTAAAAATGTGTTTGATTGTTATACTCAACCCTGTAAAAATTGGCATATTTTTGCCTTCTTGCCCTTGTCCATCTCAAGCATTTCATAATATTATAGATTTAAGCAACCATCTGATTTTCAGGGCAACCATCTATCCTGACAAACCTTCAAAGGGCAGAGTACGAGTTTTGCCTTATAAGAGTGTGATATTTTAAGACGAAAAGAGAAAGGGGCAATCAAAATGCGAAATTTTTTGGTAGAAAAGAAAACACCATTAGAAATTTGGCAAAAACATCGATCTTGTCTTACGCTATAATTTGTATCCCAGAATTTCCAGGAAAGGGATATATTGAGACTGACTCGATTAAGATAACTATCTGAGTAAAGGGACATTAACTGATTTTTAGTACCCTTCCACTGTTCCTTTCTACTTACTTTTGCCTTTCATCTCTTCTCCACTATAGTAAATTTCTTATTATCTTCCAATTTTAGGTCATGCAAGGTTCTTACTCTTACACCGGTCCCGATGGTGTTCTCTATACAATCACCTACATAGCCGATGAGAATGGATATCGTGCTGAAGGTGCACACATACCAACACCGCCACCACCACGCGCTGGAACAGGTGGCAGGTTCTTCAAATAAGATCTTAAAGAACTAAAAACAAAAACAACCAATAAAGCTCTTTCATTATTGCATACATGCCTACATATATAATACGTACGAAATCATACAATTAAAACGTGATCAATGCTAATTAACGTGATATTTTGCAACAAATACAACAACAAGAAAATAATGACACAACACAAAAAAATGAAATCAGCAGCAACAACAACACAATGTACCTACACATACATATGAAGAATGCAATAGCAACACAAATCGGAACAGGATTGAGCTATACTCGAGGCTAAATGTAAAATATTAAATCTTGCTAGGATTTTCAAAGGATTATTCACATATTTTATCTACTAACACACACTCACATATACTCAACTTTATTTCAAGTTCTAGAAGCTGTATTCTTACTATTGGATTGCATGTGATTTTTCGCTTTCTGCACTTAAATATCTATCGACATTTTGTAACCTTTATTTTTCAAGTTTTAATCCTTTCATACCTCCCAACTTTTTACCTAATTCGTGCCCACATTTCGTCCTTACGCGCGCTACCAACTTCCGTGGCATCAGCGTCTATGGCGAATACTCATATTTTGCTTTACTTTCTACTAACATCACCTCTTCTACATACTCAAGGCCAACGCGCTGATGCCTCAATACAGTTAATGCATAAACAAATGTACCTTATTTCTACTTGCAATTTAATAATTTACACTTACATACATAAATGATTTGTAATTTAAAACGCTATTTTATATATACATACATCTGTATTTATCGATTCTAGTAGCTAAGCAAATTATGTATTTTGAATATTTACGAATATTTGCTAAAACGTGAGTGATTACAAAAGATTTTCGATTTCTTGTAAGTACAGCAATCAGGCAATAAATAAATTGCGTAAAAACTCATTAAGTTGGACTTTTACTCGGCGCAGCTTTACCGCTTGGCAACCACCCCATCACTGGGCTAAATAAACCATCGTCACAATGGCGCATGCGCAGCTAAACACGCGAACTCAGGCCGCATGCCACATTCCCTCCGTCGCACACTACTTCTTCAACATTACACTTGAAAGACGCCGCGGTAAGTTACACTGCATTTGCGCTGAAAGTCGCGCACTGCAAACTTTGTTTTTGGGCGGACTATTGGAGCGCGATGCATTGCTGCGCATTGATAACCTACTGAGGCTTTTCTTGTTCGTTAAAGGTGGTAGCGTTAGTGGTGAGAATGTCTTTCTGGGTCCTAATTGGCGTTGCTGCATTACTTCCTCAAAGCTCGGTTCCTCGTCGAAGATCACCCTCAGTCGTAGTTTGCACGAGTATTTGTTTATAAAACGCATCATCTTAGCAATGGGTTGTATTTTGTATACGGGTTTCACCTTCGGCTGCAGTTCTGTCAGGCGATACAAACGTCCCTTGCAATGCGCTGTCCTATTCAAAGTGCCATTCTTCACGTTCAGCTTTGACGACACTATTATGACGAAGGTTGTTGTGCCGCTGGGCGAGAGTATGTCCTCCGGTTTCATCGAATGGCGCACATGTAGCAGCCGCAGCTCATACTTAACTTGGCGCAGGTTGCGGTTGATGTAGGCATTGATGCGTTTCTCAGCCAGAAATACCGATGCAATTGGATCGAGTGGTTTCTCTATTGATTGTCCATATTTGCGATAAGCCGATATTGTATAGGCCAGCAAGACGCATAGCACAAATACGCCAAACAAGGAAAATAATATTTGCCAAAGCAGAATGTTGGTGGCCGCTTCAATGGTATAACGTGGCGCGTGTACCAGATAGTCATTAACGATTTCCACATGAAGCGCATTACAGTCGTTAAGCGACAATCGATCCGGATGTATGCTGATTGGTATCTTTTGATTAACCAATGATCTTTGACGATTGATAAATATGAACTTGTTCAGTAACCGCCAGAAAACTGAACCGCGGTTCTTTCGCAAAATCAATTCAGTGCAATGTTCAGTGGCTTGATGAAACCAGCTAAGGCATGTTGAACTCAGATCCAAATCCGGATGTAGCGCCCTACAGAAACGATCCATCAATGGGAATGACGACAACTGCGCGCGGGTGAAGAGAAGAAAAGGTGTCACATATATTAACTGAGTACCAGAGTATTGTTAACCAGCTCTTGGCCATTGGTACTTACATTTTCTCTGCGATATTTTGTGTTTGTTGTTCTATGCATTACCCATTTGACAAGCTTTTTAAAAATAAATATACAAAGTACGGAGTGTCAAACCAAGAAACGTAGACAAAATACTGAGCAGTTGCCATAAAAACCGATTATCATTTAATTCGAACAAGTTGTGTTCTAGCAATTCATAACAGGAAATCAAGTTAAATTAATTTCTCTAGCTCTTGCATTAGAAAAAATTTAGAATCGATAAAAATATCTATTATTATATCGATAAGTCCCGAGAATCCCGAAAAATTCTAAAATCCCAAAATAGCTCCCAGATTGAGCCTCTGTGTCTCTATCTATATCCTTTTCTCTATAATTACCTTTATTTTAATCTTTCTTCCTCTATGTTCATCTTTACTTTTATCGGTATCCTAATCCTCATCTTTATATTTATATTTATCTTTGTTTTTACTTTTATGTTTATCATTTTCTTCATCTACATACTTATTTCCCTTCTCCTTTGCCCTTATATAAGTAAATTGTTTAAATTTACCTTGGTCTTCACTTTTGCCTTTGTTTTTGTTTTTATTTATACCTTTACTTTTATCCTTTTCTTTATCTATGTACATACGTACTCACCTTTACTTTCATTCTTGTATTGGTCTTTTTTTAAATGTTATTCTTAAACCTTTTATTATCAAGTTTTTGTTAAATAAATAGAGCAAACACTCAGGAAGCACTTGTTTCAGCTCCAACCATTTTCTTTGCACCATTTCCGTTGAACTTGCCAATTTACTCCCAACTAACCAACCAAAGAAGTTTCAGTTCAAAAACTGGTCATAAAGTGTGACCGCGCGAAAATGTGCTCATAAGTATAAATTTAAAAAATTTACATTATATGTATGTTTGTATGTACTTATGTGGATAAATAATGGACTGAATGATACATTTGTACAATATGTTCATGAAAATCAAGCTGCGTTTCATGTGTGGAGGAGTCCTAGCATAAGCATCCCTTCGTACGACATGTCTTATTATGCGTAACCGCTGTGCATTGATCGCGCAGCATATCAATTTCATTGTAATGCTCAAACACTCCATTATTACATCATCTGCGGTACCCAATAAAAACATACATGTGTATTTTTCTGAGTGTATAGAATTTGATTGGAGCTGAATTAGAGAATGCACACATAACAAAGTGTTTTATTCAGCTATAGGCTCATTCAGTCACTGTTGCCATCTTTTGAGTTTGAAAAAGCACCAAAACTTGGAAAAAACGAGGTTTTACCACACTAACAAAAAGTAAGAATATAAACAATATTTACAAGTATAAATCAATACACAAAACTTTTTCGATTTCATAACGATTGAACATGCCATGAATACTCATGCTTACGAAGTAATACCGAAGTACTGCACATTATCTCGAGAAAGAAAACCCGAATCGCAACAAACCAAAATGAATTTTAAAGGGGAAGGGTAATACTAAATGATGCCCTGAGTCGAAAAAAAAATTTTTGTTTTCATAATATGATCTCAAATAACGCCAAAAGCCGTGTTTTTGGTACTTTCAGGTTAGGATATCTCACGTGCTAGAGCAATCTGCAGCCATATTTGGATTCAGCACCAAAATATCTACAAAATACGATGTGTGGTACAAAAGTCAAAATTTGTCGAACTGTGCAATCAATCCAAATATGTACAAATAACTAGAAAAGAAATAATTAACTTACCTGCGTACCAGCATTTTCAAGGCAAATACAATTAAAAGAGAACGTGGGTTTGCAACTTCAGCTTTTTTAATAATCATGGTTGCATTCTAGTACATTTAAATGTGTAGATTCTTGTAAATTCAGTGCCGCCACAGCTTTAAATATTTGAAATAATTTTATGTTTTAAATATTTATGAGAAATTTGAGTTCAGAAGAAGAGCACTAAAAATGCACTAGGCACTAAACCTTTTTTTTTTGCTTTTTAATTTTCAAAAAGCACTAAATCTTGTGCTTAAAGCACCAAGTTGGCAACTATGCATTCAGCATTGAATTCTGTTTACTTCAGCATTCTCACTCTTTCATTCCGATACATATTTTTACCAGCTTGCTTTGTGAAATCACTTTTTTTTTGGAATGATTGTAGATTGAAAAAATATAAGGCACAATACCAGACAAAAGGAAAAATAATGAAATTATACTTGTAAATATTTCATGATTAAAAATTTTAATTTCACAGCTACACAGCTCTCCTTGGTATACAGACTAATAAATGCAGCCGATTTGCTGGCGAAATTGCCTTTTCTTTCTAAGCTGCATACACTTTTGCACAACACAAATATTGAATTATATTAATTGAAACCCTTATTGAAACACATTTGCACAATAAATATTTAATTTTTATCATTGATTTATTTAACCTTTTCACTTGAATCTAAAGAAGATGCGAACGACGATTTAAGCATGTAGAACTAAGGATACGGAACTGATGACGATAGGAACACAGAGAGGAAGTATACTAGGTTTAAAATAATTATTATCTTTTTTCGATTTCCCATTAAAACCAGCTAAGACACTAACCAAGAGTATTTTGCGCAGCGAAAATTTTGTAAACACAGGAAGTTACATATGCCAGCGAACTCTCCCTGTGGTAGTAACTTCTGTGTCAGATTTTTGCCACCCTGTGAACTAAGTAAATCTAATTGGATTGTGGCATGGCTAGATTATTCTTGAAAAACGTTTAATAAATTTGATGAAAATTAAAATGTATGCTTTTCCCCTCTGTGTTCCTAACTTCAACCGTTCCGTTTCCTCAGTCGTATTTACGCCATCGCACACTGGACGATTTGGCTGATCTAGCGTAATGAAATTAATAGCTAAAATATAAAGAAAATTTCAGAAAATTGGTAATTTTTGTGTCAGATTAACCCAAAAGGGAACAAAATAAATTTTTTTTTGATAATTTGATTCTTTTTTGTAACTTATTTTTTGTTACTTTGTTTTTTTAAAAAAAAATTACTTGGAGTCAGTTCTTCGAATCCAAATCGGATTAAAACTATAGAAATTGGTTAAGCTGGTCCAAAGTTATGCGATAACATACATACAAAAAATAAAAATACAAAATGTTCCAACGAATTGATAACCTTCTGCTGTTTTTGAAGTCTGTTAAAAAATTAGTTTTTAAAATTTGTCAACTGAAAGTGCGCTTATAATTTTGACACGGGTGTATGTACCCTAGGGTTGCCAACCGTACTATAATATATAATATTGTACTATTTTTTGGGTCTACGTACTTAATACTGTTGGAAAAAAATATAGTATGCAAAAAAGCAAAAATACTATATTTCTTCAATTGTAAATATAAATATATTTCAGTCATGTGTAAGAAGGAAATATTTTAAAATGGATGACATTTATACTGAAATATCAATATTAAAATGAATATACTTTAAAACAGAGGGTCCACAGATCAAACATGGCAACATTTTTAAAATACTTAGAAATATTTACCAAATTTACTTAAAATTATTTCGCTTCCTGCAACTTCGGCATTCTCAGAAATAGTTGTTTCTATTAAGATTTTGAAATAGTGAGATCAGAGAAATAAAGCGAATATCTCACTAATAAAGAATTAACTTTTTATTTATATTAATTTAAATACTGACAGCGATTAAGCATATGATACTTTCAAAGAAATATATTTTTTTGTATAGAGGAAATGCATAAGAAAGAAAAAATATGTACACTTAAAAGCATTTTTAATTTAAAAAAAAAAAAATTCCATATATATTTGAAGTGTATTATATTTTACAAATTTTTTTGAAAAAGTACTATACATTTCTTAGAAAATGTTGGCAACCCTAATGCACCCTGCAGCATCCCTCCAAACTGGTTCAGCACTTGCGCTGAGCTAGCCTGAGAAGGGACGGCACTGGTTCTTCATCTATCCCAAATCAATCCCTTCAACTGTCTTTTTTAACATGGCGATGGCCAACGAAGTGACGATTGTCGCCCTCTGCAGAACTTTTGAACTTGTTCTGAGCTGAATCTGGCTTAGATCGTTCTTAGACAGTTCATATAACAACAGTTCCTAGATAGATCAAAAAGACTCACCTCCGGACTGGAACAAATGTGGTTAGTTTTGAGCTGGTTCCTAGAAATATAGTAGGAGCCTTTTCTTTAAATACTGTAATTGAAAAAGCACGCATACAATTTGTTAATTAAAAAATACTTCATTTTATTTTTAAATAGCTATTTGTTTTGCACTTATTTACTTTTTGAGGTTAACTGTGCTTTTAAACTATGAACATAAAGTGTGGGTTATTCCTTCACTTTCTAAAACCGTTGTTCTTTAAAATAATTTATATTTGTTATATATAATGGGTATTTCTGTGTTACCTATATTTAAAAATCTAAGTCGTGAGTCAAAATGAGATAAACGTTGATATATACATAGACTGTCCGGCATCGAATTAAGAATATATAGAATTTTGAATATTCACAATGGTTTTCATGTTACAGATTTTGCGTACATTTTTTTAAGGGGGGCTCATATTATAACGTAATAATATAAATTCACGTTTCTAACAGCGTGGGAAATTTAAAGGAACTGTTATAAAACTTTAATATTTTAAATCAGAGTATATAAGTGAATATGCAGTTCTATAGCCCATAAAATTTTACTATAATTAATCACGTTGGTTTTTTATAACTCTTTTTACGCACGCTCTTAACGGTATTCTCCTATTTAATTATTTTCGTCTCAGATGAAAGGTTAAACTTTACTACACTAAAATTGTATGGGCTTTAAACCTGAATACCCGAAATATTTATAAAAACTGATTAAAATGTTCGAAATTTGAAGACAGTTTTTATAGTGCTATCAAGTTTGCAACAACAATTAAAAGGTTTATGGAATAAGAGCCATGCTTAAAAAAAAACTTAACTAAAAATATTTAAAATTAAAATTACTAGAAATTAAAAAAAAAACACAGCATAAATACACATTTCGGGTGCTGGATCATATCAATAGCACCCCCATTTCAAAGTGAGATTGTTTACCACTTTTCTTTCTTTTTTTTTCTTATCTGGGTCTATATGATTTTGTCTTAAGCATGAACTTTTTTTATAAAATAATAATAAACAAACACTAGCTCTCAATATATTATGAATACTTAAAAAAGAAATGGTATACGGAGACTTTTGCTATTAAGTGTAGCTTGCCAATAACGACTTTTTTTAGAAACATTTTAGCCGTTGCCCCATAAACTAGGGAATTACATATTAAATAAACGAAAATTGTTTGCTATTAGTTATAGGGTCTAAAAAAATATAGCATGGTATATTTGTGCATCTTTTGTCAGCTTTCACATGACCAGGAGGAGTAACATTGATGACAGCGCAACTAGCACCACATTAGTTTCAACCGTCCAGCTCTGCATCCCTTTTGCAGTAGTTCAGAGACAGTTCTGAAATTTGTAGGGCGTAACAAGCTCTTTGCCAGACTGTCTCTAAGTTTTGCTACAGGGTATGTATAGGCATCGCATTCACGTATACATTCGTCAAATAAAAGGGTGAGTCAAATGAAATATATTTGCTAGTACATGCTTATCTAAAATTACAAAATTGAAAATTAATTTGCATTCATTTTTTATGCGGTTTGTGTCTTAACTAAATCGAATAAGTATTCAAAAATTAAAATATGATTTCCTTCCTCCCTGTGTTTGTGCCATCTCCAATTCCGTATCCTCAGTCGTATTTTAACTTTGGTAAGTGTTTGCTACTCGTTTTTCTACGCTTCGGTTCGATAGTAAGAAGTTTTATTAAATTGTGATTTAAATTAAGTATTTAAATAAAAAATGTGTTTTGTTAAGTGTTTATAGTGTAGTGAAGTTATAATGTATGCACGTACTTGATGAGGTCTCACATTTCTACGCTTCTCAATTGCCCTCTAATTTGGTCAAAAGAACGGGTGAGTCCCAGAAAATATTTTATACATTTTACATTTTTATTGGACCTTACCACATACATACCTCTGCCTTTATAGCGCTCTCAATGAAACCGAATTTAAAAGCAAACCAAATCTGCTAATTTCATTCGAAATTTGTTTAACAATTATTTTGCGCGATTCACCGAAATGCCGGCGAACAATACGTCAAATTTATTATAATAATATGTAATTCAAATTAAAAACTGTATTAAGAAAACAAGCCCATTTTGACTTCGCGTTAAAAGAACGATGCGTTTATACGTATTTTCTAACCGATGTGAGAAGTTAAAAACCGATTTAAAATGCTAATGTGAGTCAATATCAGTATGACCAGTCGATCACAAAAAGCGAGGCTAAATTGGTTTTGAAAAAAGGTTGGAAAAGTTATACTTTGTGAAAAATTAAATTAAAAAGAAGTCAGTATGTTCATTCCTTAAAAACTCTTTGCCAATTAGATTAGTTTCGCGAACCCGATTTTCAGCTGCTGGCCATTGGTACTTACCAAGGCGAATTAATATAAGGTGATAGCAGGAGTACAAACACAAATATTTACATGTATTTTGTTTTTGCTTTGGCGGCATAAACTGTCAAAATCTGTAAAAGTGTGTGTAGAAATTCAAACAAAATTTTTCAATTTGATATCAGAAGCCGTGCGGCGAAACACATACACAAAATCAGCTGAGCTAGTATACCACCTTATATAAATTCGCCTTGGTACTTACATTTTCCCTATGACATTTTTGTTTGTTGTTCTATACATTACCCATTTGACAAGTTTTTTTTTTTTTAATAAATATACATGAGAAGGAGTGTCAAAACAAGAAACGTAGACAACATACTGAGCAGTTGCCATAAAAACCGATTATTATTTAATTCGAACAAGTTGTGTTCTAGCATTCATAACAGGAAATCAAGTAAAATTAATTTCTCTAGCTCTTGCAATAAAAAAAAAATTTCAACACATACTCAAATGCTCAATTTTATGGAAACTAAAATCATGATGCACATAACTCGAATTAAAAAAAATATATATTAGGAGGAGCAATATTCAAAACACGTATGAATTCGCCTTGTTACCATAAAGAAACCCCAACTGCGCTGGCGTGAACGCATTTTTAAAAACCAAAATTGAATTTTTATTGAAATGAAGTCTACTTTACCTGTGTTTCGCCAGAAAAAATAATTCACCCGAAAGTGGATCTTCCGCCCGTAGTAAATACATGGAAACCAAAAATGAAAATTATACTCATGATAAGGCTGTATAATTTTTTTTTAAACTGTCACAATAGAATATTTTCGGTTTGCGGATTTTCAGAGTGCTAGAATTGGCCGAAAGTGAACGGAACTTCCTTTTGCAAGATAAGAAAGTCTTATTTTGAAGTTATTGTCAAAGCGTATTCAAAGATTTTTTTTTTTATAAAGTACAGTATATGAAGACGGGCTGTAGCCCGAGCATGCACTTCAAATGGTAGCAATTGCACCTCATTGCACATTCGCATTTTTTAAATGTTCAGTCATCATTAACATTGCTTTAGCTTAAGTAATGTTGAAGATATGAGCGTAAGAATAAAGGGCTATCTTCGAAAAAGGACTAACTACCGGAACTCTCCTTACCAAGTTTTCTGGGCCATGCGGTTTTTTCAAGTTCATTGCCTGAATAATTTGATCTACAGATATAAATTTAAATTATTTCATAATAAAAAAAGGTATAAATGAGAGTGTAGTTTTCAAACTGGCGACGACTAAAAAATATTCGCGCTCCAGACGAAAAATAGCCATATTTTTCTTTCTTGATTTTACTATCCATAACATTTATTCAACACATTCTTATTATTTATTTTGGTATTAACATTAAAATTGTACAAAACTTGTACAAAAAGTTTCATAACAAATTTTAATACAATGCGTATGTTTTAATTAAAACCAAACTAATTATTATTTTAATTTTTCTTATTTTAAACTTGACTTGTCATTGTTAACGTTAAATTTTCTCCCATTATATGCAGAAATATTTAGAGAGGATTTCTTAGAAATTGATAAAAAATATGATAACAGCACATAAGGACACCACTCTCTTACTATTTTGAAAGCAACATATTTTTAAAACTATTAAATTACAAACGTAGTTTATTTTCATTTAGCACTAACTACCTAATACACAGTCCAATCACATATTTACACAGTTAAAATTACATATGTATGTACTATACATAATACCTAAATTTACAAAAATTTAGCCTAACAGGCCCAATAAACTTGCCAAACCACCCGCGCCACCAGCGCCACCAGCTCCGCCTAAACCTCCACCAGACATCAGCAATGGACGCAAGCTAGCGCCCAATGTCTGTCCGAGCTGATTGGCGATTTGCGCCTGCGCGGCTGTTGAGCCCGCACCGGTCCCGCTGCCTAATCCACTCGTCCCGCTGCCTAACCCACTCGTTCCGAATCCACTTGTGCTCGTACTTGCGGTCTGCTGAGATGGTGCCAAACTATTTAAATCACTACCATATGAACCATAGCTGGGTCGCTGATAAGCCGCATAAGGATTGTAGCCCCCATACAGGGGATAATATGGTCGTGGACGGTAAGCGTAGGGAGCGTAACCGCCAAATAAGCCAGGGTAGCCGCCAAAAAGCGGATATCCACCATAACCGCCATAGCCACCACCATAACCGCCATAGCCACCACCATAACCGCCATAGCCACCACCGTAGATCGGATCAGACTGCAATCCTCCACCAGCAAGGCCGCCGAGAGCGCCGAGGCCACCAAGTCCTATTGGGCGCCTACGAGTTAAACCACCTAAGATTGGGCTAATTAATCCTAAAGTTCTTCCTTGCGGCGAATCATTGCTTGTTGCAGTTTGGCTGCGACGCGATGTCGACTGTGAACGAACAAATGTGAGGAAGGAAGCCACCATAAAGGCTATGTAGAAAAGATGCATTTTTTAATTGGTTGTGGATTTTTTAAATAATCCAATTTTGTATATATGTACGCAACACACTCAGTCTTTATCGATTTAATAATGTTTCCAAAATATACATAAGTATGTGTATTCATATAAGAATTTTTTTAATTTCACTATTTTTTATACAATTTTCGAAAATACGCACATTTTTCGCAATTAGTTTTGTTGCCTCACGCCGCGATGGTTACTTTGAAACTAAAGTCAGAAACGCGGTTGCGCTAGTATTTTTAAGAAAATAAAACATTTAAAACCTTCGAATAATGTCAAAGTATATCGCATCTATAAATATTTGTCTGTAAATTTCCGTTTGGTCATAAATGTTAGAAATTTCCATAATTGCAAGTTGCAGGCCTTCACGCTGTTTGAGAAAATCTGTTTTTGTTTTTTTTTTTTGTTGACAAAAAGAATAATACAGTAACCGTTAAAGAATAAAAAACCAAGGTGTGGTAAAAATAGAAGCGGTGTACACAAAATCCATTCAAGCCACCTTTAGTTGGCGTCCATATCATCAGTTGGTCGTTAACTACGTCACCAACAAGTTTCATAGCCGGCAGCCAACTTAGTCAACTGATCTGCCACTCCGGCATCAACACGAGATTTTTTGTGTGTATGTATGCACCCTGCAGCAAATGCAACAGGTTCAGAACAAGCGCCGAGCTGAATTAAAAGAGGACGATACTGCTTCTCGATCGATATATACCAGCGATGGGCAGAGAGAGCTTTTACTCTGCTCGCGCCTATAAAAAATGTATACAAAGCTTAAGAGAGCTTTGCCCGCGTGTGTGCAGATTGCCTACAAAAAAGTCAATTGCTGCCCTTCGTAGAATTTTGGGGAGTAATTTTATCTATGTTGTTTCATTTTTATAATCAATTTCTTTGTATAAATTTATTATTTTACTCATTGCAGCTTTCTAAGTTAAACTAACAAATAATTTTTTGGTTCTTAAGGTATTAGGACTAAAGCAGTACATAATTCTAAGTTTTCTGCTTCACTGTAAAAGTTGACATTAGTTTGCACTTGGAAATCAAATTTGTTTGAGAAAATAAATAATAACAGGGCAATTCTGGCAAATGTCTATATAAAAAATAATAAAAAAAAAATAAAAATCAATAAATTAAAGAAAACTATATTATAAAAAGAAAAAAATTCAATCAGAACAGATGGAAAAAGTACTTAAAATTTCAATAAGATTAAAAATATTTTTATTAAAAAAAAACAATTAAACAACTAAATAAGGTCCTGTGAATATAATTGATAAAAAAAAATATTAAAAAAAAAAAATAAAATATAAAAACTAAAAGTGAAATTAATTCTTCAACATTTTTTGAAAAACGAATTAAATAAAAAAAAACGAAATATTAAAATATAAATAAAACTCATTTCTAAAGGGTAAATGAAAATAAAACAAGTAAGAAAGTCTAAGTTCGGGCGGAGCCGAACATTAAATACCCGGCGCAAATATTAAATATATATATTTTTCATCTGTTCGAAAGCTACCGCTACATGGTAAGCAGGGGTGTATCAATTTTGAGTAAATTAGCGCCCTTAAAATTCGAAATATTGAAGTTTCAAGTATTGCTAAAATTTACCGTTATATGAAAAGCCGTAATTTTAGTCCGATTTCAATANATTTTTCATCTGTTCGAAAGCTACCGCTACATGGTAAGCAGGGGTGTATCAATTTTGAGTAAATTAGCGCCCTTAAAATTCGAAATATTGAAGTTTCAAGTATTGCTAAAATTTACCGTTATATGAAAAGCCGTAATTTTAGTCCGATTTCAATAATTTTGAACGTTTTGCTTTTATGTGGCAAGCACAATAACCGTACCGAGTTTGGTACAAATTGGTAGAACGGCTACCGAGATAAATATATGTGATCATAAGTGGGCGGTGCCACGCCCATTTTCCAAAATTTTACCATAAACGTATTTCTTGGTAAAGAATTGTTGCAAGCATCAATTTTGAATAAATTAGCTTCAATATTTACTGATTTATCGAAGATTTCGTATTTCTCTAAATTACTGTTATATGGGATGTGGGCGTGGTTATTGTCCGATTTTACCCATTTTCAATACCATCCGTTCTACGCCTGAAAGAAGTGCACGTACCAAGTTTCGTTAAGATATCTCAATTTTTACTCGAGTTATCGTGTGTACGGACGGACGGACGGATGGACAGACAGTCACCGCTTAATCGATTTCTCCTTTCATTCTGATCATTTATGTATACGTTTGTCTATATCTAGCTCGATTCGTTTTGCCTGTTATAAACAACCGTTATGTGAACAAAGTTATAATACCCTTGAGCACAAGTGCGCTCGGGTATAAAAAGGTTAATATAACTAAAAACCTAAAAAAACATATTTTTGAAAGAAAAAATAAAAAAGGTCCTAAAAATTAAGTGAAATTAAAAATATTCATTCTAAAATAATAACGAGCAAACCATTAAAGAAATTTTAATTAAAAAAGAATAAAAATACATAAAAAAAGTTTGTAAAAATTAAATTAAATTTCAAAATATATGTATCCTTTTTAAAAATAAAAAAATTGGAAAAATAAAATCAAAAAAATTAATGTAGGTTAAAAAAGAGACACTCGGGCAAACACTAACATATGTGTAAGAGCCAACCTATTATTATTATTAAAAAAGAAAAAAGAATCAGCTGCGCCAGGACTCGAACTCGGTTCTCTCGAGTAGGACGCCTGTGCTGTACCCACTTGGCCATTGCGACTGTTGGATGACGCGAGCCAAATATTATACAAGTTCTTTCAACTGAATGAGAGAGCTTTGTTTAAGACTTTTGTGCTAGAATAAAAAAATTCATTCAAACCACCTTGCCATCTATCTTTCATTTTACTTTCTTAGCCAGAATTTCCCTGTAAATTGGTATTCTAAGCTGAAAATTAAAATTTTCCATTTAATCATTAAATAGTTTCCATGTAATAAAAAAAATTACGTAAAACACATTTAATCGCATGTCGCACGTTTGTTCGGTTAATCAAGGTCTGGTTCAGATGGTCATTTTTACTAGGTTTCTGGTTTCGGTCTGACACGACAAAGGGGTTTTAGAGCCAATTAAAATGAAAGAAGCTAGCCTCAACCACAGATAATAATAATAATAGTTGGCCGAGCTTCTTCTCCAATTTGTGATGTACAAATGTCTTGACGTTGTTACACAAATGGACGGACCTACTGTACGACAAGTGAATTTTATGAGTAGCCTTTTCACTCAGCAGTTTGTACAGTTAAATTTACTAAATAATAGAAATAGAAAAGCAAATGTAGTGGCTACTAAAAATTTAGTTTTCATAAAGAATACTTGTAGATCATATCACATTATTTTACGAAATCCCCATCTCCATTGATAGTGAACATCTGTCAGACTATGTCCAATACCAGTTCAGTGCTAGTAAATTTTTCTACCGGGTAGTGTAGATATTCAATATTTTTCATTGTGCGCTTGAATGCTTACAGCGTAGATCTCACCTGCATACATACATACATAGCTAGTCCGCCATAGCTTTACTGCTGACATTGACATTGGTGTATACAACAATTCAGCAGTTAATCTAACATATTAATACATATTGTACATATGTATGTATGTATGTAGCTTTGACTGAAATTTTCGAAATCATCTTCATTGTTTTGATTCGCTTTAGTTTTGTATCTAAGTATATACCTATTAATATTTATTGAATTTTGTGGTTTTTAGTTTCTGTTCACTTCCGTGGTTTGCTAAATTTGCCGCTTCGTGGTGTTAGCACGTGGGTTTGGGGTTTTCGCAGAATTTATGTTTACATACATACATGTTTTTTAATGAAAATTGCCAAATGCTTCTTACCAGTTTTTGTTGTCGCTGTCGATTTCCACATTATAGACGCAAAAACAAGTCTGCCATATACATATCTCACTGATCTTCGATAGGTTATTGACTCTAGAAATGTTTGTAAAACAAAATAAGTAATATTAATTAACAGCTCTAGAGTTTTTGATTAATTCGTTTATTTTAAAAGTTGACAAATTTCAAAGATTACCTTTTTTCGGTGCTGTATACAAATTATTTTACCACTGTGTATGCAATATGTAAAGCTAGTTCTCAATTAGTAAAAGGTTACTCATCTTTGTTTATTTTGCTTGAAAAAGTGGATGCTATATTTGTATTCCATTTAATGCAATAAATATGTATTAAAATTTGTACATGAACATATGTGTAACTGTCTTCAAGGAAAATCTTCTATATCCATAAGTATACAAAAATGTTGTGTTCGTTTGTACGAGGCCTCAATACTCGAGAACGGCTGAATCGACTTGAAAAGGTTTTGGTTGTTCGGTATAATACCAAGGTCATTCAAACACAAGAATTTGGAGGGTTTCCACCTGTTTGAAAATTGTTAAATCAATTAAATTGATAAAATAAGTGGATTATAACAATATGCATTTCAAATTTGAGAGGTTTAAGTAAAATTACTGTTGGATATATTTTTAGGAGGGTTGCCACCTATTTGAAATTTTTAACTCAGTTATATTGATAATTAAATTAAGTTTTGATATTGGGGTATCAAACTAAAGACTTACAGTCGAAAATATTTTTAACTCAATTTAATTGATAAAATAAGTGATATATTAAAATGTGCGTATCAACTTTAAGAGGTTTAAGTAAGATTACTGGTGGGAATATTTTTGGGAGAATTGCCAACTAATTGAAAATTTAAACTCAGTTAAATTGATAAAATAAATGAAATATTGCAATGTGGGTGTCAAAATAAAGAGTTTTAAGAAGTTTTGTAGTTGAAAATATTTTCAAGGAGGGTTGCCAACTGTTTGAAAATTTAACTTGTTAAAATTTATAAAATAAACTAAACATTATATGGGTACCAAACGAAAGGTATCACCAAACGAAAAGTGTTTGGGAAAGCTTTACTACATAGAAAATGTGTTGAATTGTTTC